GAATAAAATGAGAAAGTAAATATCACTAAAGCTTAGTTTGTTCACTTCATTTTAGGGATGTAATAATATAGTCGAGTAACCGATAAGCAAAAGCTTATAGGTTAATTTACAAAACCCCCCCCCCCCCCCCCCCCCCCCCCCCAGTACATTTTTTAGCAGGCTGGCCAGCAGCCTGGCTTGTGATGGATCTGCACCCTACCCCTGCTGTGGCTCTGCATTTAAAGTGTATTAGAAGCTGGACGGGTAGGCAGCCTGGCTCCATTTTGGTTCGTACTGGGTCTGGGAGCTCAGATTCCCCCTCCCCAAGACAGAGGTAGCAGCACAGGGAAACAGGCAGCTGGTCTGTGAAGGGAGCTTGTTTTTAAACTGGCTCCCCTTGCAGACCAGGTCCCACCTGGCACTCCATGCTTCTGCCTCTAATAAAGTGGCTGCCACTCCCGCGGAATATAGACTAGTCGACTAACCGATAACATTTCATGAGGTTACTCAGCTATTCAGTTAACCAATATTTAACATCCCTACTTCATTTCCTACACAGCTTTCTCTTGTCCCTTATCTTCTCTGATCTTCAGCTTCTTCCTTTGCCTTATTTCTTCAACAGCTAACCATTGGGTATGGTATTGCCAGCAGTTACAATGGTGTTGCTTTTGCATCTGAGTCCATGTATGTCCATAATGCAATTCTGCATCCTAGATTAAATGAATCACCGTAAATCAGTGGTTCTCAAACTGTGGGTCAGGACCTCAGTGTGCTGTGATCCTATTTTAATGGGTTCACTGGGTTGCTCTTGGACTTGCTGGGTCTTAAGGCTAAAGCTGGAACCTGAGGACTTCAACCATGGGTTTCAGAGCTCAGGCTTCAGCTTTGGCCCTGGGTAGCAGGCAAAGTTCCTGCTAAGCTGCCTGTCCAGGCAGCTTTTCATTAAGCCCTATGCAGGGGCTCAGGGCCACAGTGGGGAGAGATGCCTCTCCCAAGCACCAAAGATGCTACTGCAGGCAGAGAGGGATTCCTGCCTGCCAGCCCCAGCAGGGAGCAGCTGGGGCAGCTCTGTGATGGGGCCAGCAAGGAAGTGGCCAGTGCAGCAAGTCTGGCTCCTGGGGAGGAGGAGCAGGACCATGGGGCTCTGCATGCTGCAGAGCCTCATGCTTCCCCCTTCTCTAGGAGTCGGACCTGCTCGGTCTTTCCAGGGTGCAGCACAGTTTCCTAGCATAGGCAGAGAGACCCATGAGCAAGAGCCACCTCCCACAAATCCCTCATTCCTGGTCCCATGCCAGAGCTCTCATGCTCTCCTGCACCCCAACCCCTACCTTAGCCCTGCATGCCACCTGTGTTTCCTCTAACTTTTTCCATTCACGTGCTGAATACATTTTGTGTACCTAGGCGTGCATGGACATGCACCATCAGTAGAAATGCATGCTGCTGACTGTCAGTGCTCTGCTAATCAGCAGGGTGGCATTTGTAACTCTCCTGAATGGCCACTCAAGTGCTCAGTTTATGGGGAACACTATAGCCCCTCTGTTCCAATCCTTTGGGTTCATCCCCTAGCCTGAACCCCTCTCCTGCACCCCAACCCCATATTCCCAGAGCACTTGCATCCCATCTGTCTGCTCCAGGCTCGAGCTCCCTCCTGACTCAGAACCCCCGGCCCATTTCCCACTATATGAATTTTATGTGCACCAATATGGAGGTGATGTGTTGCACATCCCTTCTATAGTGTGCATAAGAAATTCATTCTGCTAAGGGATGGGGAGAAAATAGAGGGAACCCTGGTGTCAGGGCTTAGGTTACAGGTCTCTGCATCCAAGATGGCAAAGACTTCATGTGCTTCCCCACCCCCAGGCCAATCAGGGTTTCTGGGAGAGGGAGCATAGAAGTGTTCTGGCCCTGCTCCTTCTGGGGTGGCCTGGGGCCACTTCAAAAATTAGTAAAGTCTTTCTCTCTTCTCTTCCCCCCCCCCCCAATCTAAAATTATTGCCCACTCCCGTGCTAGTCTCTTAACCTTAACCTCAGCTATATGTAGGCAAATTGACCTGAATGAGAGGACTAAATCCATCAATAATCATTTTGAACACTAACCCTGCACTTCCCTCAGGCAAAATTATTGAAACTAAGTATTGAGCACATCAGTGGAGTATGGTTTGTCATTAGATTAGTTGTTGGCATTTTTGCTGCCTATGTATGTTTCTGATTTTATCACGTCTGTATAGGTTAGCTAATTTCTATTTCTTTGGTTTTTTTCCTTTTCTGGTACTAGCCAAAGAATGATATGGAGTAGAGGATTGATGTCATTGTCTAGCATGCCTACATAATTCTTCCAAAGAGTAGAGTTTAAAGTGTATGAAAGAAATGACAGTGTAGGAGTGAAAAGTCAGATGTTTTACATCTTGTTCTGAGTATATCTCTATCATTTCCTAAAATTGGCTTAATTGTTATGCACCCATGACAGTTGGCTCAAAAGATAAGGTTACAGTGAAGATCCCATTGGAAGCCTTATTTTTACTAATCACTGAAAATGTTTGATCTACATTTTTCCAGATCTATTCAGAAGACAAACATTTGAAGGAAAACTTCATTACTTTCACACTGATGAAGAATCACATTATGAAAATGCAGAGTGCATTGAAATACTCAGTTCCTTTCAGTTATTTAAATTCAATCCATCTAAACAGAAAAAAACATTGACACCCTAACTAAGGCTGTGTCTACACTACAGACCTTACAGCAGATGACTGTACTGATGAAATGTGTCCCTATCAGGATATCCTGCCAACATAGGACTGGTACTTTTCCCAGTGAAACGTGTGTGTGTGTGTGTGTGTGTGTGTGTGTGTGTGTGTGTGTGTGTGTGTGTGTGTGTGTGTGTGTGTGTTTTAAATACTCTGACCAAAAAAGTATTAGACAGAAGTGGTAGTGTAGACCAGCTGTTCTCAACCTTTTCTTTTCTGAGTCTCCTTCAACATGCCTTTAAAATTTCACACACCATCTGTGCCGCCACAACTGGATATGCAAAGACACAGTTGACTAAAAGCTGGGCCTGGCAGTAGATGGTGGAAACAGGGCAACTGTCCAGGGGGCACTAGGAAGATAAATTGCTCAGGCTTCAGCTTTCTGTTTTGGGCCTCATTGAGTTTAACCAGCCCTACTCTCTGGATTATTTTGGCTGACCCCCTGAAATCTGCTCACAGCCTCCTGGAAGTTCCAAGACTGCTGTTTGAGAACAACGATGTAGTTTGTAGACAAAGCATAAATTAGTTCTGTCGTGGTCCAACCCTGTACTCTTCAGTTAATTTGCTTTGCTATGTAGGTAAGTAAAATGGACCTCTGGACATGCTTCTGAGAAGGCTGCTTTTCAGACTCTCTCCCATGTGCGCCCCCGCTTTCATGCTCCCTCCCTCTTTCATGCTGTTTGTCACCATTTGGAGGCAAGATGCCATCTAGCACCTTAAATTGACCAATAGGTGTGCTGTATAGAACACTTTTAATCTTAGTCCAGTGGATATTGTCTAGCATGGTTAAATCAGTATCTTCTGGCCTATTTGAAGTTTGTGTGAAACTGAGTGGCTACAGTGCTTGGAGATGCTCGCTCTGTTGTTGAGTCTGTTCAGTGAAACTGGGTTGCTAATGACAGTGCTTTTCTGTTAGAAAGTAAGCAAAAACTCTATTTTCTTTTATTCCCTTAGATTCATTATCGGATTTGATATACTAACGGACTTCAGCTATGCAGACAATTAAATGTGTAGTTGTGGGTGATGGTGCTGTCGGTAAAACATGTCTCTTAATTTCTTACACAACAAACAAATTCCCATCAGAATATGTACCAACGGTGAGTATAAAGGGTGACCGTTTCATTGTTTTTTTGAGTGTTCAGCGTGGGGGGAAGGAAAAGCATAATTCCTGTAGTTAATGTATAATTTATATGCCATTATGTTCATATGCTCCTCCCAAATCTTTCTTTATCACATCTCTCTCTCTCTACTTGGTACCTGGATCTGACCTCTCATGACAAATTAGGAAACAATGTGTTCAAGGCACATTCTGCTTATAAGCAAAAGTTGCAGTAGCTTCTGTATTGCTTCCCTCTGTGTGTGCGCGCGCACGCATCTGAATGATCTGTTCTTGCTGCATAGCCTTCACCTGACAACTAACCCTCTCATTGTTTGACAGTACAAGTGGGAGCTGTATGTGGATTATTTCAAACTCAGTAACTTTATGAGCAGAAAGAGCACATGAGCTCTTGAACGAAGAATGGGGAATTTATGGCAAGCCTTGAACCAGCCTGCCAGGCTTGAGGCTCCCCCTTTTCCCCAGTGGTGCGGGTGCTTCAACCCCGTGGTGAGTTTGAGTCTTGGCACATCCCTGAGAGACGTTGAGCATGCTTCTCTGTTGGATGCCAGGTCAGTGAGGGTTTTTCCCTCCTTCATTGGAGGGCCTTGTCAGTGAGATTTTTATCTCCTTCTGACCTGTGTGTGTGGTCCTGACCCCCAAAAAGATTCCCCACTCCTGTCTTATACAGAGACAAAACAGCAACAATTGTTTGTTTCCAGTCTTTGGAGACCCCAGACTTGTGAGAGCATTCTTGAAGTAGTTCTCCTTAGGATGTCCATCTTCGCAGCTGTGCAGGAACATGCATTAAGTGGTCATGAATATTCCAACTGCCATAGTTTCTTGCAACTGTAATATGCAGACCTGGACCCCACTGCCTAGTGTCTTGATAGCTTCCTATATTTTACCAACTCTGCCTGTAAATTGTACCTTTTTGTAGTATTGGTACTTTAGGGTAGTGTTGACTTGCTAAACTGAAGTTTTAGAAACTGCAGGCCTCATTCACAGAGTTCAGACAAGGACTGACATGGTGGTTCTATGTGCTTAAAATAGGGATATTTCCAGGTCATTTTTTCCAGCCTCAAATCCACATGCTCTCACCGTGAGCATGTGCATTTGAGGCTGTCTTTTTGGAGTCATACTCTTGAGTCCTATTCAGTTTGCAAGATCTTGAGTCTGAGAATAGGAAAAGAAGCAGAACCACATACAGGCTCTCCTACTGCAAGAGATTTTGGCAAGCAAGTCTTATGGTTCTGAGGCTTTCATTACCTCATTTTCTCTGATGGACTCTTTACTCATCTGGGGGCTAAGATGTGGTAGAGGTAGCCAGATGCTTAAGATTCAGGAATCAAGGCAAAAGAGTTTGACCAGCAGGATTCAGGTATCCATATAGTTCCATCTCCAGTTTAGATTCAGAAGAAACATTGAAAGGTTGTGGCTGCAGAAGATCTATCTGGTAGCCGTAGTAAGGGTTGTCTGAGTGGTTCTATTCCCCTCTCTGGTCCTGAAATCAGAGCTGAAGGAGGCATCTAGAATCCCTTCTTCCTTTCTTTTGGAGGAGGAAAAAAATCACTAATTGAGAGTGCAGAGGTAGCAATACAAGCTTCTGGTTCTGTGGGAACTGTCTACCAACCCTCAGTTTGGATTCCTAGTTCTCCTTCAAGTGATGGTGCACACATACATTCCATTGTAGATATGTGCACACACAATGCACTTGTGTTGGAGACTTGTCAGGAGTATCACTAGTCAGTGCATGTGTCCCTGTTCTCCTTATGCTCCCCCTCTTGTTCTCTTACTGTTTGTGGCAAGAACTGGGGCTCCACTTCAGTGTAGCTTTGGTCAGCCAGCTTTAGAAAACTTTCTGTTCAGTTATTACACTAAGTGTAGTTTAATGTCAGTAGTGTAGAATAGTATAGTTAGACACTATTACTACCAGAAAAATTTACTAGGAAGAAATCCCAGGTTCTAAACATTTTGCCATGCTATCCTTATCAGGTGGGCTCGAGTTGTCAGTAGGAGGTGCTTTTCCATTGACTTCCCATATGCTTCTCAGAGGTGGAACACAAACTAGTGGGAGTGCGCACTCCCATTGATTTAGCATGTTTTCGCCAGACCCACTAAATCAACAATGCTGCATCAATAGCAGTGCCAGTTGAGCTGATAGTGTAGACATGGCCTGAGAAGCAGTGAGAGTATCACTTTAAGGCACATCTTGTGCAGAAGGCAATAAGGGCAGTGTTGGACATATTTCTCATTCATGGTCCAGGGATCACTGGATTGAGTTAGTGTGCTCCTTTAGCTTCATCTGACTCTAAAGATAAGTCTGGGAGTGAACACAATGTTGTCTGGGTTGCAGGGTTCTAAATGATCAGACGCCTGAAAGACCTCTAAGTCTAGGGCCTCTCTTCTAGTAAGTCCTCCAGTACCAGTTCAAAGCGTCACAACTTGAAGCACTCACTAGTTTGGTCAGAGATGGCGGCATCGTCCCCCCCGCCATAATGGCGGTTGGGGGGGAGGGGGGGAAGGAGGCGCAGCAAAGTTGAAACCCAAAGACTTCAGTCCCAGGTGGGTGGCCTGTAACCTAAGCTTGCCACTCAGGTCTGAAGCCCCAGCTTAGGCAAATTTAATGCCAGTCTTGATGATCTCATTAAAATGGGGTCATGAACCACTTTTGGATCCCAACCGACATTTTGAAAAGCATTGCTCTAGTCTAGATCCTCTTTCCAACTCGCATCAGTTTCCCCATAAGAAAGTGACCAAGATGTCCTATCTTTGATGTAGTGGGCCTTTCTCATCAGACATCTTCAAAGCAATCCTTTTTGACATTTTGGTCAAGGACCGTATACCAACAATATCATTTGGGTCAGATCTCTCCCATTTATACTGTGCTTGATAAAACAGCATCACATCAGACAGGTGTATGTTCGCCATGGTTAAGGACGGCTATGCTATCAGTTCCTTTTAAGGACCCACATTCCTGATCCCTCTTCAGAGACCCCCATCATGTTCAAGTGCAATGGTCTTTTCTGGAATTGAGAGCAATGAAGAAATTCCTTACTAACAGGACAGGAAAGGGTTCTATTGCTAGTACTTTCTGATTTTGAAGAAATCTGGGCTTCTTAAAGAAGAACAGATGCATTAAAAATATCATGTTCAAGATGCTTGCCATTGCTTTTGTCTTTCCTTGGTAGTTGTCCTTGATTTGTGTTTTAACAAGAAGTATACTTGCACACTGTGAGATGCCCTTCCCACATTAATTGCTTTCAGTTTGCACTAGGGACCAACCGCTTACCAGTACACAGTGATCTATTTTGCTTAGTCATAAGTCTCAAGGGTTTTCACTACTTGTACATAAGTGTTAGCCGCATGCCTGTCATTTGGGCATTCAAACTTTCATACCTTGGACAACTGGTTGATGTGGGCATCATCAGGAGACCAGATCCAGAGTCCTAGTCATAAATGACTGTCATGGTCACATCTTTAAGCTGTATTGTTTCAGACAGACACTAAACTTGAAGAGGTCTTAAGGTGCAGCCCACTAAATGTATGTCTTGTACAGGGGCATGCCTCAACAGCCATGGTCTACCTCCGTCTGGAAAGGTCTCAGTCTATAGCATCCCTTTCCAGTGACCTCAGATTTAGCCATATAATGCCTGCCTGCAGTCCCTAGGCTATGTATCCTTGTGCACCTAGGAAACTCCTTGCCAGATTTCACTATCTCTGTATGCAAGCCTGGCTTCCATTGGTATATTGTCCTACCAGGCATTGTATAAATATGCAGATATGCGTACCTGTCCAGGTTCTTCACTTCTGGACTGTTTGCAAACAGATTTCCCTTTTCTCCTCCGAATCAATATTGACCTACCACAGTCCCAGTCCCATTTTAGTCACCTTCAAACACACACTCTTTGGTCATGTGACTAGGCATCCCTCCAAATAAACATGTTGGAATTTGGAGCTGTTTGTCAGGTCTCTGAAGTATTCAAGCTCTCCATTGAAAACCAGGTTTCCTTTGCACAGACAACAGCACTGCCATGTTTTATCTGAATAAACAGGAAGGTATAAGATTGATTCAATTAGTCCAGCAGGCAGTTCTCTTTTGGAATCTGTGCATTCACCAGTGTTTCTCTGAAGTCGGTTCACCTTCCAGGTGTCAAACACACAAGCAGATTCCCTTAGCAGCATTTTCACAGCCTGTCAGGCCTTTCTGACATCCTCTCCCGATTTCCACTGCCTCCTCCCCTATGCTGTAGGCACATGGTAGTGGACTTGTTTGCAGCCATCCTTCACAACAGATGCATGAGTTTTTGCTCAGACAGGTTCGATCAGAGATGCATTTCTTTCTCATTGCTTTTATTACCACAGTTTTCAGGAACCGGAAACAGGACAAAACATTTCACTGCTGTGGCCAAGACCAATGTTGGTACATGGATTGCCTCTCCACAGGCTCACTGATAACGTCACCAATAGTTGTACATGTTCTTCACAGAACTAGGGTGAATCTGTGTATTCAAATCTCTCTCTGCCTTACTTCATGAATGATCCCAGGTTGAACACTCATGAGAAACTATGATCCTAGTAGGTTCAGACTCTTCTGGTGAGTAGCAGAAAGGAGCTTGCCAGAGCTACATTTGAAATTAAAGTTGAGATTCCCCCTCCCCCTTTGGGATCAGGCTTTCAAAATATTGCTGCATCCTAGTCCAGCTGTGCATAACTGCAGTATCTTCTACATTTGAAATCCTCTGGTTCCTTGGCTCGTTTGAGAGTTTACTTGGCTTCTGTTTTGGTATTATCTGCCAATATGTGGGTTTTCCATTTTTTTCCTTACTTTTTTGTTTTGAGATTTTTTTTCAAAAGGCCAAGTTAGTACTTACCTTCCATGTCTGCTCTGGTAGCTATGAGCTTCCCTATCTGTATTGTCTGTGAAGATCACATTTTTAGTGGCAATTGCTTCCATGAGGAGGATTTCAGAATTTGAAGTTCTTCTTGCTGATCCTCCTTTTACAGCCTTTCGTAATGACAAGGTGTTCCTTAATACACGTCCTAAGTGTATGCCTATGGTAGTGTCAGCCTTCCATCTAAATCAGACTAGTAACCTTCCGCTCAGGAAACTCCATTGGATGTTCATAGAGTTCTGGCATTTAATTTGGGCTATACTAGATCCTTTAGATCAGGGCGACTCAACTTTGGAAGCCCCGGGGGCCACAATGATACTCACAGCACATGCTGAGGGCCGTAACTTAAGTGTGGTTGCATATACATACAAATATATATGCAAATAGCTTATATCACACTGGGGGCATGAATACAACAATTAAGGCAAGATTACACAACACACAGGTCCCATTTAAGTCAGTTCTGCTGATATTAATAAAATGCAATATTTACCAGATTTCCACCCATATGACAGCCCAGGAATTTAACTACTAAAATGCATATCAACTGAAGACCATTATATTGACTACATTTTTTTTGTCTCCCACCTGTGGGCCACGTCTTGAGTCCCACATAAACCCAAACCACACTGCGGGCCGCAAACAAATGTTGAGTAGCCCTGCTTTAGATCCATAGAGCTGGAAGAGCCCTCAGGAGGTCATAGAGTCCAACACGAACTAAATCATCCCAGCCAGGGCTTGGTCATGCTAGGACTTAAAAACCTCTAGGCATGGAGATTCTAGCACCTGTATAGGGAATCCATTCCTAGTGAAATAATGTTTCCTAATATCCAACCTAGATCTCCCCCACTGCAACTTGATCTTCAAGATTCTCTGTAGCCTTTGTTGAAAGCCACAGATCACCCTCGATTTTGAGCCTGACCTCCCAACATTTCAGATTCACATTGGATGTCAGAGGCTGGTCTGGCGAGCCTCAAGGTTCAAGGTGAAGAAGGCAAGAAAAAAGTAGAGAGCCCTTTTTGCTGGCTGTGCTCAAGGAGAGGCATATAAAGCAAGCTGACAAGATAGAGTAGAGCAAGAATAGTCGACTTATTTTTCCCACTCCTTTTCACTTTACTGCATCTAACCAGCTTTCATTATTCCCCTCTAAGAGCATATTATGCAATGAAGGAAGGGAAAATTGCAGAGAAGTCCAGGGTATTCACTATCTCTTGATAATACCTTGGCAGCAAAGGAGCTATAGATGTATCCTTGAGGAGAACTGGGGGAAGGTCAGGGGCTCGGATTCTGCCATAGGTGTTTGCTGTTACCGTAGGTAGAAGGGCTATCTGAATCTGAGATGGAACAGATCCATCAAGTCCCTCAAGTTCAGGATGCTGAGCTTGAGCAGTCCTATCCTAAGATGGTTGGGCAGGTCTTCATCTAAAAATACTAGCCTCTCCAGAGCCATCTGACAATTGCACCAGAAAGCTCTTTGACTGTTGGGAAAGATTTTGTTGGTACAGAGGGTAGCCTTTGCTCTATCCATGGCACCAATGGTGTTCAAACTGCTTATCTAATGTAATTCTGTATCTTACCCTACCTGTACCTCTGGCCAATTCAAGCATGATTCAGCCAGGCCTTTGCTGAATGACATCATGTTCTCTGTTGCAGATTCTTGGTCTGCAAATAAATTGGGGTGGGGAGAACTTACACAGTTGTATGTTGGAGAAAATCCTACAAGGAGCAGTAGTTCTGGACCAGTCTCTGGCAGAAGCCTTTCTGCTAGAGCCGCCCTTCATCCCCCCCCCCCAGCCCCTCCTGCTGCCACGAGGGAGGGGGCAAGCCCTGCACTGTTCTCTCCCTCTTCTCTCCTCCCCTCCCCCCCTCCGTCTAGCCACAAGGAGGGAGGGGGTGAGGCCCCGGCTGGAGGATTGCACTTTAAAACTCTGTCAGTCGCCCACCACGTGGAGGGCAGCTGCTGAAGGTACAGCCAGCCCCGGGGTCTCTCTCAGTTGGGGGGGCCTCTTCACCAGCCCCCCATTGCTGGATCCCCACAGTTCCCCCCTTCTCCCCCCCCAAGCCCACCAGCAGCAACAGCTTACCTTCAGTGCTGCTGCTGCTCAGGAGCAGAGTTACGTGATTGTTCCACAGAGGATCCTTTTTATGTATATAGGAAGATATCCTCTGTGCAGGGAAAATATTTCTGGTGAATACTTTCCTTGCATTTGAAAGAGGAATTCCTTCCAACTTGGCTCATTCCTCTGGTCATTGAAAAGATAACGTTGAGAGAGCATTTTTTTTCATTTCTGCCAGCGATGCCATAGCCATCCTGAAGATCAACTTTATAGAGCAGTCACATTGTTCGTGTTTGTTTGTGTAGTGCTAATACCTAGAGGCCAGGACACCATTGAGTACCATCCAGACAGATTTTTTTCCGCAATTTCACAATGTAATTGTAAGGATCATGACCCAAAAAGGAGTTGAATATGGGGATTGCCACAAGATCATTGTAGTGAGGGCTTGTGTACTGTTAAGCTTCTATGCTGCTGCTGGTGGCTGGGCAGTTGGAATGGCAGTGGCTGGCCAGGAGCCTAGCTCTGAAGGAGGAAAAAGAGCGCTAGCAGCAGTCCTGAAATGAGGATGGCGTGGTATAGTATTGCCTCTGACTTCTGTGCTGCTGCTTTTAGAGCAGGATCTTCTGTCATCAGCTTCACTCTCTGGCCGTGGTGCTGCCTTCAGAGCTGAGTGCCCTGGCCAACAGCCGTCATTCTCCAGCCATGGACCTCTGAAGGCAGCACAGAAATGAGGGTGGCAATAGCCTTACAATGTCCTTGCACCCCTCTGACGCTCCCTTCTGGGTCAAGACTCCAATTTGAGAAATGCTGGTCTCCGCATGAAATCTGTATAGTATAGTTTAAAAGCACACACAAGACCAGATTTCATGATCTGTGACAGGTTTTTTGGTTGTGAATTTGGTAGGACCCTAATTATGGAGTTAACTCTGAAAATACTCAGTGGTACACTGCTTAATTGCTGACTTTTTGAATCCTATGCATACCATAATTCACCTAGGAGTTGTACTTGACTCCAAAGGATGAATTACTTGGCTGCCAGCAGTTCAGATTTCAGAAACTCCATTTCATCATAGAGAAGAATTTCCTGGACCTTTATGGAAAATATGGTTATTGTAGCAGCATTTTCTGTTCACCTAATGGCCTGATAAATGTTCCTTCATAGAGAACCTGTTTCATATCTTTGACTCAGGAAAACTCACCTCTGAAAGAAAGGTATCTAAGGTTTTTGAAAGGATCTAGTAACATATCAAGGCAGTAATGCAATTGAGCAGCTAGTTGCTACCAAAGGAAGTGTGGCGTTCACATCCAGTTCAGACCTTTAGCATGATGTCTTCTGTGATGGGCACTATCTTAGGAGAATGAGAATATCACGAGGAATCTCTGGACAAGAGAAAGTTCAAAGAGTATACATTTTCTGCAACTGCGACTGGCTGTGATTGTCGTGATGCCAGTCTGTTGGGGGAAGAGCTGCATAAATGAAATTAGGTAAACACGAGAACAAAAGTTCATAGGGCTACAGTAGTTTGAGGCCAGAAATGATCAATCCCCTTGTCATGTGTCCTGAACCCTGAAATTGAGAGACAGCACAGTTGTACAGTACTTGGTCTTAATAGGCATTGTAGACCTTGGGGAGGTGCTGGATATTTTGACAGTTGGATAGGACAATTAAATAAGAACAGCCATACTGGGTTAGACCAACAGTCCATCCAGCCCAGTATCCTGTCCTCCAACAGCGGCCAATAGCAGATGCCCCAGAGGGAGGGAACTCCACTTGCCTCCAGAGAAACAGAGGTTAGGGACACCATCCCTACCCATCCTGGCTAATAGCTATTGATGGACCTAACTTCCATGAATTTATCTAGGTCTTTTTTTTTGAACTTTATTAAAGTCCTAGCCTTCACCACAACCCTGGCAAGGAGTGCCACAGATTGACTGTGCGCTGTGTGAAGAAAAACTTCTGTATGCACTATTCAAGATGTGGGCATACCATGGTTTTATATAGAGGCATTAAGATATTTCTGTCTTATTTTCTCTCCCCTTTTTAATGATTCCTAACATTGTTTGCTTTTTTTGACTGCTACTGCACACTGAGTGGATGTTTTCAGAGAACTATCCACAGAGAGTCCAAGATCACTCTTTTGAGTAGTTGTAGCTAAATTAGTCCCCATCATATTGTACATGTATTTGGGATGATTTTTTTCCAATGTGCATTACTTTACATTTGTCAACAGTAATACGTCTTTTGTGTAGTGGCAGGGTAGATGGGCACTGAAGCTTGTGGTATCTGAGAGGTGTATATTTCCCTCCCATTTGGGGGTGTAGTGACTCTCTTGAAGTGAAGTGCTTTGAATGCCCTGCTTCCTTTGTAGACATCTAGCTGCCCAGTTGCACTCCTGTCCTGATATCTGCCACTACATCCAGCAATAATGGAGGAGCACATTAACTTAATTCTGCCAGTGATTACAAATGAAATCGCTAACATTGATATTTTAAATTGTTCCAGAACTCTCACTCCATTGAGATCCTGTTTAGAGCTGCATGCTTAAGTATCTCACTCTATTAATTTATGCCCTGTTCATGTTGGGAAGGATTTCTTGTATGTATATGGCCTTAACTTTTTTAAAGGAAAGGTGAGATTGTTGATGTACTGTTTTGTGACAACTTAAAGGTAAGTATAGAAATACTTTGCTATAATTTCTCATTTGATAAGATGGGCATGTGTCTATTTTTTGTTCTAGGACCCTTACCTAAAAGGAGTTTGAAAAATATTGATCTTATTTTAAAATTAAATATTTCTAGAGCAGCAAATTGAGGGGATCTGAAATAGGAATAGGATATCCTATAATGGACAAAATGGCTTGTTTTCAATTCATATGTTGCTTGCTTTTTTCCTCCCTTCTCTAGGTGTTTGATAACTATGCTGTAACAGTGATGATTGGTGGGGAGCCATACACTCTAGGCTTGTTTGATACTGCAGGTAAGACTGTTAACTTTGGCCTCAATCGTTATGAGTGATGGTTGGGACACTATCAACCTAATATTCAGTGAAGGTGCAAACAGCTCTCTGTGTGTAGATTCCTGTTATTGCCATTGATTCTTATCTCCTTTGTTTTAACTACCCAATCTTCAGGTGCTTGCTATTCCCAGTTCTCTTCCTGTTTTTTCCTTTGATATTTCCATACCCTCTGCTCCTTGTTCTCCCTTCTCCCCCTCCCACCCCCCCCAATTTATTTTGGGTCTGCACATGCTAAACTCAAAACTCCAGTCATCTGAAGAAGTGGGCTGTGCCCACGAAAGTTCATGATCCCATCAACATATTTTGCTGGAGACCAGGGAGACGGGCCCCGTTCGTAACTGCGGATCCGACGTAAGGGGACTGCCTGTAGTCTTTTCTAATATCCAACCTGGACCTCTCCCACCACAACTTGAGACCATTGTTCCTTGTTTTGCCATCCATCACTACTGTGAATAGCCTTTCTCTAGCCTCTCTGGAATCTCCCTTTAGATCCGCCCCCCCCTTCACTCTTCTCTTCTGCAGACTAAATAGACCCAAATTTCCCCAGCCTCTCCTCGTAGGTTATATGTTCTGGCCTTCCGCTGGACCCTGTCAAATGTGTCCACGTCCTTTTTATAATGGGGGCCCAGAACTGGACACCATACTCTAGATGTGGCCTCACCAGAGCAGAGTAAAGAGGAATAATCACATCTCTGGATCGCCTGGCAATGCTCCTCTTAATGCAACCTAATATGCCATTAGCCTTGGCTGGACATAACTGTTGACTTATGTCCAGCTTCTCATCCACTGTAATCTCCAGGTTCTTTTCTACAGAAGTGGACCCAGGAGACCTGGGAGGGAACACAGCCTAGAGTCTGTATATGGGGCAGGGAGCCCAGGGCTGGGGTGCAGGTTGGGGTGGGACCGAGGGGCACCCGAGGGACAGAAAGAGGAATAATCACATCTCTGGATCGCCTGGCAATGCTCCTCTTAATGCAACCTAATATGCCATTAGCCTTGGCTGGACATAACTGTTGACTTATGTCCAGCTTCTCATCCACTGTAATCTCCAGGTTCTTTTCTACAGAAGTGGACCCAGGAGACCTGGGAGGGAACACAGCCTAGAGTCTGTATATGGGGCAGGGAGCCCAGGGCTGGGGTGCAGGTTGGGGTGGGACCGAGGGGCACCCGAGGGACAGGTTGTAACAATGCTTGGGATTCTTCCGTCCCAAGTGCAGGACTCTACACTTGTCCTTGTTGAACCTCATCAGATTTCTTGTGGCCCAATCCTCCAATTTGTCTGTCACTCTGGACCCTATCTTTGCCCTCCAGCATATCTACCTCTCCCTCTAGCTTAGTGTCATCTGCAGACTTGCTGAGGGTGCAATCCATCCCCTCATCCAGGTCATTAATAAAGATTTTGAACAAAACCAGTCCCAGAACCGAACCTTGGGGCACTCTACTAGAAACCAACCACCATCCTGTCATGGAACCGTTGATCACTACCCACTGGGCCCGACCTTCCAGCCAGATTTCTATCCATCTTACCGTCCATTTATTCAATCCACGTTCCCTTAACTTGCTAGCAAGAATATTGTGGGAGACCGTATCAAAAGCCTTGCTAAAATCAAGGTATATCACATCCATTGGCTTCCCCATATCCACAGAGCCAGTTACCTCATCATAGAAGCTAATCGGATTGGTCAGGATGACTTGCCCTTTATGAATCCATGCTGACTATTCCTGATCACCTTCCCCTCTTCCAAGTGCTTCAAAATATATAGTTCCCTGGATTATCCTTCTTCCCTTTCTTAAAGATGGGCACTACATTTGCTTTTTTCCAATCATTTGGGATCTTTCCCGATCTCCATGACTTTTCAAAGATAATGGCCAAAGGCTCCTCAGTGACGTTTGCCAACTCCCCCAGTACCCATGAATGTATTAAGTCCGGACCCATGGATTTGTGTACGTTTAGCTTTTCTAAATAGTTCCTAACCTTAGCTTCCCCCCAAGGGCTGTCCACCTTCATCCCATATTGCGTCACTTAGCACATTAGTCTGGGAGCTGACCTTGTCCATGAATACAGAGGCAAGGAAGGCGTTAAGTACTTCAGCTTTCCCCATATCTGTTGTAGGACTCCTCACTGTAAATGAGCAAATATGAAGAAAACACAGAGAAACGGGGGGATGTTGCCCTATAACAAAGCTAAACTGATTCTTCCCACTTATGTTCTTCATGAGCCTAGGATTTCAGCACAGAAATTATATAGTACAAACTAGATTGAACTACTTCTCATTGCTCCCCAAAATACACAATTGTTCAGATTCAGATAGTGGGAACATTAATGACACTTTATGTTAAATGACTCTTACTAGAA